CCCGCCGCCCCACCACGCCGCCTGCCAGTCGGTCGCCGCAGGGGGCGCGGGCGCATCACCTGGCCGGGAGAAGGTTAGACTCTGGAAGAACGTAGGGCTGGGGGGGGGCGGGGGGGAGGCGGAGAGGGGCGATGTCATGGGGTCGGGGAGAGGTCAGCAGCCCTCCCGCTCAGCACCCCGCCCCCGGGAGGTGGGCAGCCCCCCCCACCCCCCAGCCAGCTGAGGCCCCCGGGCCAGGCCCACGTCAGCTATCGCAAAGCCTCTGTCGGAAACTTTGGGGGAGCCGACCCTAAATGGCTCGCCAGCACAGTCTGTCCATTTGGTCACTATCAATCTGGTCCCAACCAGAGATATTCGCCTGGGTGGTATTTGAAGACAAAGGCCTGATTTTTTTTGGGGGGGGCATGGGGAACAGTTACCAACTACCATTCCCACCATACACGTCTTTCCCAGGTTTAGTGGGAGGAATGGGAACTTTCTAGGGCATTCCTAGAGGCCTGAGAGTCACACACAACCCGTCAGAGTCCACATTGCTGTCCTGGAGCGGAAGTGCTAGGGCAGTGCAGGAGGAAAAGGAGTTATTTATTTATTGGTGGTCAATATCAATTTTCCGTCGATTTTGGCTTTTTGTTAGTAGGGCTTCCCGCACCCCTCAAATCCCCTAGGCTGCCAGTTGGATGGTCTACGAGAAACAGTACCATTCTTCCTGTTAATGAACTCTTTTTTAAGTCATTTTTTCTCATTTGACCCTTCCATGGAGCAGAAGCAAATTGCGTGAAATTACCTCCAAGGATTACATTTATTACTGGCCAATGAGAACCCCTTGCCTTGTTTTACAAACTCTTAATCCTATGTCATTCTGATGCTGCAAACAAGCCCAGGCCTGGGCCTCCTATTCTTTCAACTTTCCCCAGCTGGAGGGACCTCATTCTGCACTTAATATTCCCCATAAATATCACACGCTAAAGACCCCCTGACTTCCAGCAAGTCCACATTAAACATGTGACATGTCACGCATGACAAACTCTGAGTATCTTTT